AAAAAAAAAAAAGAATAGCTTCAAACCCCAGCTTGTTTTTGGTGTCCATTTGCATGAAATGCCTTTTTCTTTCCACCCCTTTAAGTTTATTTGAGTCCTTGTATGTTAGATGAGTCTCCTGAAGACAGCAGATAGTTCGTTGGTGAGTTCTTTTTTTTTTCTTAATGTTATTTTATTTTATTTATTTATTTATTTGTGACAGAGTTTCACTCTTGTTGCCCAGACTGGAGTGCAATGACACAATCTTGGCTCACCACAACCTCCACCTCCTGGGTTCAAGTGATTCTCTTGCCTCAGCCTCCCAAGTAGCTGAGATTACAGGTCTGCGCCACCACACCCAGATAATTTTGTATTTTTAGTAGAGACAGGGTTTCTCCATGTTGTCAGGCTGGTCTCGAACTCCCAAGCTCAGGTGATCTGCCCGCCTCGGCCTCTCAAAGTGCTGGGATTATAGGTGTAAGCCACCATGCCCCGCTGGTTGGTGAGTTCTTATTCATTCCACAGTTCTGTATCTTTTAAGTGGAGCATTTAGGCCATTTACATTCAATATTACTGTTGAAATTGGAGATACCATTGTATTCATCATGCTGTTTGTTGCTTACGTACTTTGGTGTTTTGTTTGTTTGTTGTTTTTGCTTTTAACTTGTATTTTATTTTATAGGTCCTGTGTGATTTATGCTTAAAGAGATTCTGGCCCAAGCATGGTGGTTTATGCCTATAATCCCAGCACTTTTGGGAGGCCAAGGGGGGCAGATCACATGAGGTCAGGAGTTCAAGACCAGCCTGGCCAACATAGTGAAACCCTGTCTCTATTAAAAACATAAAAATTAGCCAAGCATGGTGACAGGGACCTGTAGTCCCAGCTACTCAGTAGGCTGAGGCAAGAGAATCACTTGAACCTGGAAGCAGAGGTTTCAGTGAGCTGAGATCATGCCATTGCACCCCAGCCTGGGCAACAGAGCAAGACTCTGTCTCAAAAAAAGTAAATAAATTAATTAAAAAATAAAGAGGTTCTGTTTTGTTATGTTTCCAGAATTTGTTTCAAGATTTAGAGCTCCGTAGTGGTGGCTTGGTAGTGGCAAATTCTCTCAGCGTTTGTTTGTCTGAAAATGACTGTATCTTTTCTTCATACATGATGCTTAGTTTCACTGGATACAACTCTCCTGGCTGATAATTGTTTTGTTTGAGGAGGCTGAAGATAGGGCCCCAGTCCCTTCCAGGTTGTAGGGTTTCTGCTGAGAAATCAGCTGTTAATCTGATAGGTTTTCCAATCTGATAGCCTGTCCTTTATAGGTTACCTGGTGCTTCTGTCTCACAGCTTTTAGGATTCTTTCCTTTGTCTTAACTTTGGGTAACCTGATGACGATGTGCCTAGGCAAATATTCTTTTGCAATGAATTTCCCAGGTGTTCTTTGTCCTTCTTGTATTTGCATATCTAGGTCTCTAGCAAGGCCTGGGAGGTTTTCTTCAGTTATCTCCCCAAATACCAAATATGCTTCCCAAGTTTTTAGAATTGTCTTCTTCCTCTGGAATACCGATTATTCTTAGGTTTGGTCATTTAACATAATCCCAGACTTCTTGGAGTCTTTGTTCATATTTTCCTATTCTTTTTCTTTGTCTTTGTTGGATTGAGTTAATTTGAAGACCTTGTCTTCGAGCTCTGAATTTCTTTTTGTTCAATTCTATTGCTGAGACTCCAGGGCATTTCGCATTTCTAAAAGTGTGTCCAAAGTTTCCTGAATTTTTTACTGTTTTTTTTTTTTCTTTAAGCTATTTATTTCTGTGAACATTTCTCCCTTCACTTCGTGTATTATTTTTTTATTGATTTCCTTGCATTGGGCTTTGCCTTTCTCTGGTCTTTTCCTGATTAGTTTAATAACTAACCTCCTGAGTTCTTTTTCAGGTAAATCAGGAATTCCTATTGGTTTGGATCCATTGCTGGTGAACTAGTGTGATTTTTGGGGGGTGTTGATGAGCCTTGTTTAGTCTTATTATTAAGGTTGGTTTTCTGATTCCTTCTTAGCCTCCCGAGTAGCTAGGAATGCAGGCGTGTGCCAACCACGCCCAGCTAATTTTTGTATTTTTTGGTAGAGACAGGGTTTCACCATGTCCAGGCTGATCTCAAACTCCTGGCCTGAAGTGATCCACCTGCCTCAGCGTCCCAAAGTGTTGGGATTACAGGCATGAGCCACCACGTCCAGCCAGTGGTTTGCTTCACTTTGAGCTCTGTAGTAAATCTGTACTTGACTCCAGAACAATTCATCTATTGAGGAAAAAAAAATTTTCGAGTTATGATGAATCTTTTTCTAACATGAAATTTTTCTTCTTAGTGGATATTTTGACATATGTAGTCTGGAAGATAAGTGGCTTACCTGCAACTTGTGTAATTGGAAGTGGTTGTAATCTAGACTCTGCCCGTTTTCGTTATCTAATTGGAGAAAAATTGGGTATTCATCCCACAAGCTGCCATGGTTGGATTATTGGAGAACATGGTGATTCTAGTGGTAAGTAGAAATCTATTAGCATTATGTGACTACCCTTACCTCTAATAATGCTTATTTTCTTTAAAGTTTTTTCCTGATATTAATATAGTTATATAAGTTTCATTTTGTTATTTCCCTGGTATAACTTTTACTATTCTTTACTTTCAATCTTTTGCATCATTGATTTATCTATCTTTCATAAAATAGTCCATAAAGCATATAGCTGTTTTAATAGTCAATGAATGTTTCTCTTGTCTGTAATACTTTTTTATTTATTATGATTTTTAAAAACAGCTTTATTAAGACATGATTTATGATATGGTTTGGGTCTGTGTCCCCGCCCAAATCTCATGTTGAATTGTAATCCCCAGTGTGGGAAGTGGGGCCTGGTGGGAGGTGGTTGGATCATGGAGACAGGTTCTT